AAGCACACTTTCCCTGATGGGATCTTTTTTTTCTTATTTTACAACCTCATCCTTAAAGGATAAGTTCACCTTTTTACCAAATATAATAAATGCAAATATCTTTGCAGGTAAAACAAAATGTGCATTTATTATTTTTGGTTGCAGGAGCCTGGAAACCATTGCACCAGCGGTCAGTAGATCATTGATGCCATGCAGGTCTCCTGCAGACCTGTCAGTATATCTGCTTGCCCGTACAGATGGCTCAAGAAGCACATTAAGGTCATGGAGTGGCATAGCTGGTCTCCAGACCTTAATCCTATAGAAAATTTATGGAGGGAGCTGAAACTTTGAGTTGCCAAGCGACAGCCAAGAAAATGTAAGGATTTAGAGAAGATCTGTAAAGAAGAGTAGACAAAAATCCCTCCTGAGATGTGTGCAAACCTGGTAACCAACTTCTTACCTCTGTGCTGGCCAACAAGGGTTTCTCCACCAAGTACAAAGTCATGTTTTGTTTATGGATAAAATACTTATTTTACTCACTGAACTGCAACTCAGTTTATAACATTTATATCGTGTTTTTTCTGGATTTTTTTTTTTTTCTGGATTTTTTGTTGATAGGGGATCAAATAATTATTTTTTCACTGTCTCTGACATCATGTAAAAGTTAACACCTAACATGATAAAAATTATAGACCCTTCATTTCATTGTAACAGCAATGTTTAAAACTGTCGTGAATGGGTTACATTCATAGCAGATGTGATTGGCTACAGCTAATCACATGGTTCAGGGTGCTGTGATTGCCCCAGGTACTATGTGATAGCTGTGGTTCAATCACAGCATCACTGTATAGGAAACATAGCTGTGGTGAATGACATTCATAACAGTTCTGTTCACATTGCTGTGCGAGCACATGATCCCTGGGCTGCTTGTTTATTTTTTTTCTTCTTGACAATAATAATAAGATACAATGTATCTTTTTCCCCATTCAGTGAAAAATAAACGCACAGGGGTGTGCTGAACAGTGACTGATCAGTGTGACAGGCAGTCAGAGGCTATCACAGTGATCAGGTGATATGTACCTGAGCCTCCCCATTCCCGATTGTTGGTACAAGGCTCGGGCTTGTTGGTGAGAGCTCAGACTCAATATGCCGCACTGTCTCAGCACAAACAAGTATGCATATATGTGGCCTCACAGAAAGATGGTCAGCGAATGTCTGAACAATTAATTTAGTCAGCTATATCGATTGTTTAATCCATTTAAAAAATAGTTTATAAAGATTAAGCTTACTTATTCCTGAGTTATTTTGCCGTGCAGAAATTATTTGAATAAAACATTAGATCGGGTGTCAGTATGGACTATAGACTATCAAAAATAAATTGTTTACTTACTTTAATAGTCACTTTACAAACACCATAAATGATAGTCAGATTGGGATATGAATAGACACTAAGATTTTGCAATTTATATAAAAATTTTTTTTTTCTTCTTTCTCAATAATTTTCTCTTCTAGACATCGTAACCATTTGTAACTACCTGGCAAACAATCTGTGTTTTATGGATTCAGACTGTCGCTCTCCTGCGGAAAGAATAAGTGTTAAAATGCGTACAATTGTCCATCAAAACACCAAAGAAAAGTATAAAATTGACTTTAAAAAATGATCTAACTCCTAGTGGTTATGTTTTAGTGGGAGAAATACTATGTTACAGCAAGGATTATTGCAATTGACGTAAACAAAAAAAAAATAATCACAGGAGAATATAACCTATTTACTCTAAGAAGCAATAGAATGGAACGCTGTGACAGGATTGCCTTAAGATGGCTGCCAACCAGACCCTTCAAATGGCCTCCAATGGGTGGCGTTGCCCTCCCAAAATGGCATCTAGCTATGTTGGAGCGGTCTGTCCTGGCCTCAGTGAAATGTGTTAGATGACTGTCTCTTGATGATGATGTTTTCTTCTGATGGTGAGGTGTTTTCTCTCTCTTGACGATGAAGTTCTCTTTAGATGATGTCTACCATCTGACTTGCTATTTTTATAGTTGCAAACAATACTCCTAAAACTCCAGAAACCTGGCCTAGAAGGTGTAACCTTTTTTCCTATTGGTGGATCAGCATACTAATCAGTTATGCGCTTATACAAGCATTAGCTCACTTGGCCAGTGGGTGGTACTCCGGGACTAGAAATGTTACCTTCCAGTTATCGGGGCAAATTCATTTTATAGTAACTAATCTGTTCTGGGATAAATTAATCTTTTACTATAAAAAATTCAGCTATGATTTCCCTTAAAACATAAACTGTCATTGAGGGTCTGGCAGCTTTCAAATTTGTGGTAGCAGCATTTAAATGGAAAATGTTAACAAAAGAGATGTAATTTCATATATATCAGTACATCATTTAAAATATATTGGTGATACACAGAGAGAAAAGAAAAGTATGTCTGCATTACTCATATATATATATATATATGTGTGTGTGTATTACAAACTTAACTATAGTAAGCTTAACAAATCCTTTGGCAGCAATACGATATTTTATCATGGATAGATATGACTAGTGTCGTCGTTTCTGAAATGTCCCAGAAGTATCAAGTTTTGTTTTTAATATAATTCCTGGGGTTTTTTTTTTTTTTCTTTGGTTTCAAGCCCCTTCCAAAAAAGGTTATTGGTTGACAGGTTCTCACAGTGTGTCCTCAATTGTTTAGTGTTCTATAAGTTGAACAATAGCGAACACTACTCTTCAGTACCGGGACAGGGTTGTCCAGCACCCAGGGCAACGATCTAGAATTGTGCCCCCCTTCTCCCACTGTTAATGCATGCCATTGAATGGATGCACCAACCTGCATCTATTATTTGCCCCCTTCTTTGTGCCCAGGACAGCTGCCCCTCCTGTCCCACCCTTGTCCTTTCCCTGCTACTCTTGAATTAACTCCTTCCTACTGTCATCTCTGCAAGGAGAGAGGAGCGAAAGCCGTTTCACAGGTCTGGGGATTTGAAATCCCTGCGGCTTTCTCTCTTCTCCTTGCAGGAATGACAGTACGGGCTAAATGGATTCTGATTGATAAGCACCATGACGGTGCTGACCAACCAAAAGTAGTCTAGCCTGTACTGTCATCCCTGCACTGAGGGGAGAGAAAGCCGTGGGGAATTACAATCCACAGCTTTTCCTTCTGTGACAGCATTGGTTTGGGTCAGGGAGGTTTCCTGCATTGCTTCTGTGTGAACTCCTGTATAGAATATCTCCTAAACTGTGTATATTTAGGAGATATTCATTTTACCTACATGTAAGCTTTATTATAAGCGTACCTGTAGATAAAAATAGAAAAACAAGTGTTTACTACTACTGTAAAACTACGTTAATGCCACGTCTGCTGCACTTGGCCCTTGTTGACATGCTTTAAATTTGCTTTAGTTGAATTGTTTTTTTTATATATTTATATATAAAATCCAAATCATTGGATTCAGGTGTTCCAATCACCTCAATGGCCACAGGTGTATAAAATCAAGCACCTAGGCATGCAGACTGCTTCTAGAAACATTTGTGAAAGAATGGGTCACTCTCAGGACTCAGTGAACCCAAGCGTGGTACCGTGATAGGTTGCCACTTGAGCAATAAGTCCATCCATGAAATTTCCTTGTTACTAAATATTCCACAGTCAACTGTTCGTGGTATTATAACAAAGTGGAAGCAACTGGGAACAGCAGCAGCTCAGCCACGAAGTGGTAGGCCACGTAAAATGACAGAGCGGGGTCAACGCATAGTGCGCAGACGTCTGTCTGCAGAGTCAGTAGCTAAAGACCTCCAAACTTCGTGTGGCCTTCGGATTATCACAACAACAGTGTGTAGAGAGCTTCATGGAATGGGTTTACATGACCGAGCAGCTGCATCCAAACCTTACATCACCAAGTGCAATGCAAAGTGTTGGATGCAGTGGTGTAAAGCATGTCGCCACTGGACTCTATGGCAGTGGAGACGTGTTCCCTGGAGTGACGAATCGCTTCTCTGTCTGGAAATCCGATGGACGTGTCTGGGTTTGGTGGTTGCCAGGAGAACCGTACTTGCCTGACTGCATTGTGCTAAGTGTAAAGTTTTGGTAGAGGGGGATTATGGTGTGGGGTTGTTTTTCAGGGGTTGGGCTTGGCCCCTTAGTTCCAGTGAAGGGAACTCTTAAGGCGTCTGCATACCAAGACATTTTGTCAATTTCATGCTCCTAACTTTGTGGGAACAGTTTGGGGATGGCCCCTTCCTGTTCCAACATGACTGTGTGTCCTGGCCTCAACCTGATAGGACACTTTTGGGATGAATTAGAGTGGAGACTAATTCTAGAGTGGAGTGGAGGCCAGGTCTTCTCGTCTGACATCAGTGCCTGACCTTACAAATGCGCTTCTGGAAGAATGGTCAAACATTCCCATAGACACCCTCCTAAACCTTGTGGACGGTCTTCCCAGAAGAGTTGAAGCTGTTAAGGGTGGGCCAACTCAATATTGAACCCTACGGACTAAGACTGGGATGCCATTAAATTTCATGTGCGTGTAAAGTCAGGCCGACCAATACTTTTGGCAATAATTGTGTGTTTTTTGGGGGGTTTTGTTCTCTTTTAATACATTGCTTTGTATTGATGTACAATTTTAATCTGTTGCATTGATGGGAAGGGTTTTTTGTTACAACAGGAGCCTAAATAATTTTTTTTCTTTCTAACATACATTGAAGTGCGCTGTGATTTTTTTTTAATGGGTTTTGCGGTTTTCAGACTCTAGCGCGTTCGCTCACAGATCATGATGAATTGGTGTGAACTGAGGCTATTGGAAATAATGAATTTCAGCTTGTTGTTTCATTGGGTCTGCATTGAGCAATGCAGCCAAGTATACTTGGTGTGAGTGGTCTCTAACAAGCAAAGGTTCAAGTTCTTTTTCTTCTCACTGCTGAGCTGAAATGCTATATATGAAGATGGATTGTGTTTTTTTATTATTACTTTATAATATATTTATGTCTTTCATATAGTTTTTGTATTTTGTTTTTCAGGGAAAAGAAGTGGGTGACTGTCGGAGATACTTCTCTTAGAATTTACAAGTGGGTTCCTGTGGCTGAGCCTAAAGTGGATGATGTAAGATATTCTCAGTTTAAGAGTTTTCCTATAATAGACCATCAATCACATTTCACTTTTCTTACTAGCTTTACAGTGATTCCGAAATGTTCGAATATTGGTCTGCTTCTTGCTTCACTAACAATGACTTACATGCAGAAATATTTTTTGTATAATCTGAACAGTAGTAGTAGTTGTCTGTAAAAAGTTTTAGTCCTTTTAACCAAACCTGTTTATTTTGGATAGGTTATAATGCATATAGTGACATAGGAGTACTTTGTGGGTAAGAAAAGTGTAGAACAAAGCTACACAACTGTACGTTGGGGAACTATGTATCAAGATTTTCAGTGAACCCATGCATAGCATGAGCACAGTGATTGCAGTATGTAAAAATGCCCTCTTCTTGTGCTTAGAAGTAGCATTGCACCTTTTGTGATTGTGAAGGCAGAAATGTACAAACTTTCCAGATTTTTTTTTTTTTTTATTCTTTAGATCACATTACTACTGCAGGGTTCTTAAAATCCAAATTCGTGTTTACATAGAACCATCATCGTAGGTAGTGTCTGGCTGTAGGGCATCAGCCTAACAGTCGGTGATCCACCATTTTCATTCATTAGATTTCAGATTTTTCAATCATGAAGCCTCCGCATCATCTATAGGTGTTACCTAGGGTGGTCTGCATGCAGTTGCAGCCTGTATAGGATACCTCCTCATTAAGGAATGTTAATATTTTTAACTCTTCCAAAGAGCCATCATGTGATTGTGCATAACCAGGTATCATCGGAGCATGGCTACTTGGGCACTGTATAGATGCATGGACACAGCCCCATCTAGTGATGGTGCATGTCTGGGAAAACAAATCCAACTAGACTGTTTCTGTGTGTGGCTTCTTCACAGACTTCACAATGCACACAAACACAGTTGTTAACTGTTGCTACTTAGGTTGGCAGGATCGGGTCATTGTGTGTGTGTGTTGACTCCTTTAAAATGGCCTGATTTAACTGACCAAAATTTAGAAAGTTGAATTTAGTTTTGTATTACAAAATTTGTCAAATGTGGAGAAAGGTGGAATTACATTTTAAAGGGTCTTTGAATGTGGTACTGTCTAGTTCCTTACTCTAGTTCCTCAATTTGTGTTTTAAAGGTAAAGACTAGCAGATTAAAATGAATTTATAATAGTCACAGTAAGTGGGCAGACTAGGACGCTTACCACTAGAATCCCAAGGAGAAAGAGAAGCCAGTGGGTGCTTTTAACTAGCCAACCTAGAGATAAATTGGATGCTTTGGGTGGACAAATCTTTGAGGTGATTTTGCCGGAGTTGTTTAATACTCTTAAAAAATCTAAAATTCTCAGCAAGAACAATAGTGAGAGTGACACCAAGCTTAAAGTGTTCCTAACCCCACAACAGTAAAATCAGTCTGTATATGCAGTAAATAATGCTTGTTCTACTCACTGTGGAACCTAAGGGGTTAATCCTCCGCATTGTTTAAAAAAGTTGTTTGAGCCTGACTTCTCTGATCCTCCCCTTCTTACAGTGTTTCCCTCTTCTCTCCCAATAAAGACATATCATGTGGAGACACTCTGCACATGCTCAGTTTAGCGTGTATTGCTAGAGTGGTTTTTGTTTTGTTTTTTTGTCTTGGGAGAGTGCATGTGATCAGCACAGGGCCAATCAGCAGTGCCCAGACAGAGGTCAGTGGATTTCCATCCTTCTAGAGTAGAGTGAAAACTCCTACAACCTTTAACCAGTGCTCTGTTGGACACTGATAGAAGTCAGAAGACTGCTTTAACTGCTGATGAGAAAAGGTATTTAGCAGTTTATATTTACTAAAATAATTGCATTTCCATGTTCTATGTACTGTGGGAGACCAGATATAGTGAATGCAGGGTCCGGGGTTTAGTAACACTTTAATAAGGGTTTGTGTAAACATGGTTCTTTGGGGTATAACTGTTGGGAATGGGGGGCAAGATCTTGGAGGTTATTAAGGTTAAAGTGGACCTTCGCCCTTGATTTTTTTTTATTTTTTCTTGTTCCTTTCCCCTTATAACCTGGCCATACACTGTTAAATTAGGAAGATTAAAGCGGACCCCTACTCCCAGGTTTCTTGCTAGCTCCTCCTCCTTACTCTTAAACTGGCAATATACTGTTTTTTTTTTTTTTTTTTTTGTTGTTCAGCCTACAAGGTAGATGGAGGAATCCCCCTTCTGGGACATTGTGTTCTGACCGTGGAACTCACTTCTATTAGAATACACTGATTGGCTTCAGCGGCTGAAACATTTTCAACTTATCCCTTTGTCAGAAGTCTATTAAGTAGTTGACTTCCATGGAGCAGGGGGGCCCTCACACTGATTGAAGTTTGGCCAGTCTAGCAGGGAATTTTGTGCAGTGTATACCACTATACTAGCTTTACATAGTTGGAGAACGTGGTGTTTTTTTGTTTTTCTTTTTCCCCATTTACCTGCTTTTTAGCTCTTCCAGCTTTCCCACCGAGGCGAGCATGACAAAAGGCCCCACCCACTACTTCCTGAGATGATCACATCCCAGGAGGCAGTGTTCTGTTGAGGGAGCTTGCGAGATTCTGCGCGTATGCAAACATGACTACGCACTCTGATATTTGGCAACTGGCAGAGATTTGCAGCATGTCTGCGCATGTGTATGCATGCATGGGAAGAAAACTCCAACTTGTACGCAAATGTGCCGCAGGTCTTTGAGTTCTGGCAGAGACCTGCTGCACATCTTTGCAAATGTATGTAAAGATGGCAGCACAGAAGAGGAGCCACAGGAATATTGTTCCTCTTTGATCCCTATATCATATTTGTGGTCATTAACTTTCATTGCACAATGTCAATTCGGTTAAACCATGTAACGATTATGCTAATTTTTGCCTTGTCGGGAGTTTCTTAGGCCAGAGCTTTTGTCTTCTGCTTTGGTTGACATTGATGGTATGCAACATGTGGTAGCCTCACAGTAGTAAAACATTTTCTCAGATTGTGCAATTATTAGTTATTGATTGTTGCAGTTACGATCCCCTAATATTTTCATAATACTGCATTTGGTACATTATGTCTTGGGTAGACACTTAGGCTTTTCTGGGTAATGTATTAAACATTAATTTTACCTGTGTTGCTCCGAGGACTTGCATTGCATGAAGTACAACTGTTGCCAATGACTTGCTGCAGCCTTAAGTGCCCATCAACTTGTGGCATGCATTGTGGGTCTCAATGAGTGTGAGGGTGGTGTAAGTAGATATTGAATAGTTAAAATTCCCACAGAAGTTGCCATAATATACATGCAGCTGTAATTTGTTTTTACATTTTTCCCCAGCTATTTATTTGTTTGCAGCCCAGTTGGTTAATTTGCTGTTGATGGGAAATATGCTGAACTGACTTTCATTTTACTTAAGTCTACATTAAGTTATTTATTTTTTTACATTTCTTTTCCTTCAGATTGAGTTGAAAGTGACAGATGAGAATTCGGGACTTCTGAGGCGACCAAAACCCTGTGGAAAAGTCAGATACTGCCTTTTCTACTATTGTCTGTTCTTTAATGTCACAGGGAGTGGGAATAATACTAACACACTAGCATGCCTATCCAAACTTCTTCTTTCTAACACCTACTGAACTGTGTATACGTTTAACTGGCTAATAATGAGTGAGTGCTGATTAATGACTGTTCTTCACGTTCCCAACATGTAAGTTGTATCACAGGTTTTCAGTGACACGATCTTTTCAATTTAATAGTGAAAAGCAATGATGGCCTCTAATGCCATATCAAAACTGGTATTCAATAATGAGGACTTCTGATCGATGCTTGTAGATTACTGAATGTTTCTGGTAAAGCGAAAAATGCATGTAGAGCGTAACTGCTTCAGAGACTTCTGATGTGTTGTCTGCAGTTTAGGGGAAGGTAGTCTTCGTCTTCATTCATGCTCTGCACACAAGAGGGAGAAGTGCAGAAATTCTGGGCTGGCCAGGGGTACAAACCATTTATTTATCTTTTAAGTTGTTCATTGAGGGCACACTGTCCAGCAAATGTTAATCCAGCTCCTGTATAACTGAGCCTCCAATCATCTAGCTTCAGTTTTTTGCTAGTGGCCTAGGAGGTTGGGTGTCTTCTCCGGACTTGCTGATAACTCTTGCCTATATTTTTGCTAGCCTTCTTATTTTTTAAAATTATTTCTTTAATCAAAACCTTTTGGTTCAACTATCTGGATCCCTGCACTTGAGCTGTGATGGCCCTTTTTTTTTTTTTTTATTCAATTATTTTAGCCATACAGATAGTGGTAATATAACGTCTATAGGGGTACATGATGTCATTGAACTGAGTTGTACAAATAAAGCCAAGTACGTTGATACAGAATCTGGTATGCCCTGTAAGCTCAATCAAGTCTTTTATGGGGGCTAATTAGTTTGCCACTGTGAAGTGCCTTCCAGATGCTTTCTGTATAGCTGGAGACAGCAACTAAGCTTTCGTCTTGCATGAGGATGACATTTGCTCATATGCTTAGGGCACTTTGGCTACATGCCTGTGATGTCCAGAGTACACCTAAAGAGCATCTGATTTACTTTAATGGAAAGCTGCTCTTTGGACCTGCTCTCAACATGCTGTTTTCCTTGCAGGCCTTCCTCAGTACAGGAGATTTGTGGATGGGATTTTTAAGCACCTCAGACTTCATCCACTATTCCCTTAGTACCATGTAGGTGACCAGAGTCTACAGTACATATCGCTCAGGCCAAAAACCTTGAAGACAGAAGACCTCTGTCTTCTGAGAGAGTGTTTTTTTTGTGACCATCATCACTTTTACAGAATTGGGAACACAGGCAGCAATAAAAACTGCGTGGTCCTATTTCTAAATCTGAGCTGGACAAATACCACTGAGATCTAGGAGCCATATATACTCACGGTGTTAAATGTTGTATTCCACCTAGTGGTGACTGGTGCAATTGCAGCCTTTAAGGCTGCAAAAAGAGATTTCACTGACCACACTGTCAGACATCTTTTATGGTGACTGGTATTTGCCTTGCCCTGTTTTAAACGACTCTTGTGCTTTGCCTATTAGTGGCAGAACAACAGGTTAATTGCGGCCCTTCCTAGCTGCACATGCTCTCCTTTGCTTACCCACTTCTAAGGCCACTAGGCCACTATGCTCAGTACATTAGAAAATATGGGAAGCACCTGACTCCGTCCTCTTTCTCCGATGTGCTCTGGTGCTAGGCAATTGATTTCTCAGCATTAACATGTTGGTAGTTAAATGAACCTGTTGCTTTTCCCTGTATGACAAAAACACTGCTTCCTTTTAAGGTCAGACTGTTGTCGAAGGCTTAGTCAGGGACATTTGACATTTTCACTGTACAGAAAGTAAGAGAATTTGCAACAGAAATAAAACCATAAAAGTTGATAAGTGTTTAAGTCTTTTCCTAGTTTTTTTTTTTTTTGTTAATGCCATTATATTTCTGCCTGTTGGAGATTTTAGCTTCTATAACAACGAATGTCACCAGGATGGTAAGTGAGGGAGAATCTTTGTAACAGAGCCCAGGATAGAAGTAGAACCCAACAGAGGGGTTCGTTTTAGTTCTTCTTCAGATAATCCAAATCGAGCAAAACATGCTTTAAGGCTAGATCACCCCAGTTGCAGTGTGGGAGCGCATGCAAAATCGCACTTTTCCCGCACTGCACGGAAACACACTGCCTTTTGCAGGTGTGCTTGGATGTCATTGATTCTTATTGGCACACCACGCTTCTAGCAAATGCATGCAGTTGCTTCCATTTTGGTGCATCACAATTTTAAAATTTACACTGACACCTTTTTTGTGCATTTTACACACACAGGGCAGTCTGTTGAAATGAATGGGCTACCCTAGAACACGATGTGCAAAAAAAAAAAAAAAAAAAACTTTGCAGTTACTTTAATTTTGCTAGCAGAATTACCTTTTGATGTTTAGGTATAGTACACACTGCCAAACTAATAATTGGGTTCACATTATGCAAGAAATATATCCAAGGCTGAAGTAAAGTTGTAACAGTTGGGTTAAATAAAGTAAAGTAGTAGTAATTTTGAATATGCCTTAGCCATGAATTAATGCTCCTAGTCCAGGGATCTCCCAACTTACTAAACAAAGGGTCAGTTTACTCTCCTTCATACTTTTGGGGTGTCAGATTTGGCCAGTGGGAGTAGAAAATGTCAGATTGTGGCCAGTGGGAGTAGAAAATGTCCTAGTGTCAGTGGGAGTAATCAATGCCCCATATTTGGTTTTAGGGGCAGCAATAATGCCTCATTGTTAGTGTCAGTAAGAGGAACAGTGCCTCATCATTGGTGTCACTTGGAGTAATAGTGCCCTATTGTCAGTGGCAGGAACTATGCTCCACTGTTGCTGACAGTGGGGAAATGCCCTAAGGGCCAGATTAAAGCAAGCACAAGCAAAGGTCCACATTTAGCCACCAGTTTGGAGAACATTGTTCTAGCCTGATCAGGTTTCTGTACCATTTAACAATGCAGAGCTGTTACTGACACACTGAAGCTGTCTATTTCCAGTGTCTCTTAACTTGTCTGATTTTCTTTCCATCTTCCTCTAACAGATCTATCAGTTTGCAGTTTTTTTTTCATTGTGTTTTATGTTAGATACAGGCTATTTCTCTGTGTGAACATTTCAGTTGTCAAGGAATGTTTTTATTTCTTTTTTTTTTTTTTTGTAGAAGACCAAAAACAAGAAGAAAACAAAAGATGAGAAATGTGGCTCTGAACTGACCACCCCAGAAAACAGCTCCTCTCCTGGCATGATGGACATGAATGGCAAGTATAGAAAGTGTCATTGAGAAGCGTATATATTGGTTCATCTTTTACCTTTTACCAAAGAAGCTGTAATACTACATAAGTGTTCCAACTATTATTTACCACAGAAAAAAAGAAAATAAAAATGCACACTGATGCTCAAATGGTTAATACTGCCAAACCGCTGTTTTTGCTACACGAAGGAGTTAACTTGGCATTGTTCTGAAATCTAATGCTGTGTATGCAGAAAAGCATGGTAGATTAGGGGGTGCTGTACCTGTTTTGGGACTGAGGCCCACAGGTTTTGCAGGTCTCTCATTAATGACCGATGCTAACTCCTCCTACTAATAATCTGGACTGCAGGTATTAATGGAGATGTGAATTAAATGGCTTCTTATAACTGTATTGTAACAAATATTTCCTCTGTCGCCTCAACTAGTGCATACCCTGGTCTATAATAGTAAGCAGAATAGGAACAAGGGGGTTGAGAGACGAGGAGCATTGAATAGAACAGCTGTTGATAGATTTCTAACTGTTGTCTGTTCTGTGGACAGTCCTTGGTACAACTTCTGAGCTATGTGCAACCTCATTTATCATTCATTGTCTTGGCAACTAAGCACACTCTGATTGGAAATGAGGCTGGGAGTAGTGGGGGTACAGTACCTCTAGAATTCCAGTGATGGAGACAAGATGTAAGATTCCTCTTTCAGTACTGAGGAAATGGCCAGAAACTGTGTCCTGCTACCAGATATTTAACAGTTTCTTTCCTTTCAGATGATAATAGCAACCAGAGCTCTATAGCGGATGCATCACCTGTGAAGCAGGAGAACAGCAGCAATTGTAGTCCTGCCCCAGACAACCTTAACAACCAGGCAGACAGTACTGAGTTGAAGTCTGAGGAGGCTCATTCTAATGCCAGCGAGCACCAGGATTCTGAAGGTAATACTAGAACCCGAAGTTGCCTCAGTGCTATTACTTGCATCTAGATTTCAGTGAGAAATCTAATTATTGTGCATTTTGAAATGTAATTACATTGCTGGAGGTAATAACATTTGTATGTAAAATAGTCACTGAGCAGAGTTTGTTATATGAAATTAATGTATCTTTTACTATGCCATCTAATACTCTGTGAACCGCCACTCTAGACACATAGTGGAAATAAAATGGCATTCGATTGTTTCCCCCTTTGGGGTTACAGGAGAGGAGGATCAAGGGGGAAGGCTGCAGATGCTGGAACATGTCACATGTTCCCACCCTTAAAATGGGTGAACGTATCCTTTAATTCACATTTATGTATGAAAAGGTCTGGAATCAATTGCAGATATCTGCAGTGATAAAGCTTTCATCATGGTAAATGCAGAAGATCAACCTCTTCTTTGTATCATGCACCATAAAGCAAGCCTATAGATGAGTCAGTTTTTGTTCACCCAGCGGGCTGAACGAAAATACTAACCTGGTTCCCCCATCAGCACACTCAAGGTGGATGGCAGGAGACTTCCACACCATGATAATACACTGATCAGTAGCCTGCAGCGCTGATTAAGCAGAACATTTCCAAAAAGGCTGGTTAAACAGAAGTTGATCAGTAGATTGAATTCTGTTCAACCACAATGCCCATATGTTGATCAAAATTTGACTGGTCCCTGCTGAATGATTTTGATCCATGCATGGCAAGCTTCATGCACCTGTAATTCAAATCTGAGCTGAATGTTTTTGGGATTTTCAGTCCAGCTGTATTGAAACAAATCTCATTTACAGAGACTGGACATAACCCACATCCTGCACAGTTACACATTATACAGTAGTAGTACCTCTAACAGCTGGAGATGTCGGTATACCTACAGGTAGGTATGTACCTATAGATTGGCATAGTTGTGGATTGTTTTCCTCAGTGATTTTTGGATGTGGCAAAAATAAGTTTTGAGAATCCAGCTTTTGGTCACTAGCAATACACAAATCGGGTGATGTATAGGCAATTGTAAACACCTGGACTCTCTCCTAATTTATCCGGTATAGCCACGGACCTGAATTATGCTCTTCTCTTAACTACCCGTCTTTCCAAGTCTTTTACTCTCTAAATATCTCTGCATTCCAGTGAGGGTTTTTAAAAAAATTTTAGCGTTTGCAGTCTACCATAACGTATAATACAGACATGTTTTTTTTTTTTTGGATGGAAATTTTATTTTGTGTATATTTTGTAGTGCAATACCCCAAAATAGAACAGTCTGCTGGCTAGAGATGGGAAGGCCTGAATAAGAAAGCCGGAAAATTGGAATTTTTTTTTTTCTGGAAAAACTGAAAAAAAGAATTTTGTAATATGTTCTTTTACAATTTTATAAATGAATATATGACATGATATTCAAACCATATAACCTAAAGACCTTAATGAGATTTCTGGGACTTTGCGAGGGCTTAAATTATTGCAAGTTCTCTCAGCTGAAGACAAGAATTCTGGAATACAGTTCAAATAACACTGTACACCTCAATGCAAGAGAAATATGCATTTCTGCCACAAGGGGGCACTGCAGGGGAAAGGATTCAGTTTAGTTTGCTTGTGGGCTCCATCTTGTACCTCCTACAGTTGGAGGATTGTTGGGGTACAGTAGTTTCTGTCCTCTCAGGCTTTAATTGACAGGTAAGAGGATAAATTTGTCTCATGAATTTGTTTATCTTTATAACCTTTTAAATCATTACTTTTAATGTTCTCCACCACCACAGTATAATGTTTACATATAGTCTGCTCAATAAATAGTTTTTTCTTTTCCCCCTCTCAGTAAAATGGTGAGACCAACATCTAAGGTTTGGGAACATTTCCACAGTACAATTTCTGCTGAGTGCGAAGCTGCAATATGCAAATATTGTGAGAAGATATATTCTTTTCCAAATGCTACAAGGATGACAAAACATCCTGGCATGCCAAAGTGCCCTAAAGACATTAAATACTTTTATAGTATGAAATGATGAGGACCATAATGAAAGTGCATCACAAAGGAGTTGATTTACTAAACCTAGGGAGTGCAAAATCTGGTGCAACTCTGCCCAGAATCCAGTCAGCTTCCATATGTATTTGTTTGGTTTTTTTTTTTTTTTTTTTTGAAGCTTAACCACCTGAAGATAGAAGCTGATTGGCTACAATGCACAACTGCACCAGATTTTGCACTCAAGTTTTAGTAAATCGACCTCTGAGTTTCTTCACCAGCATCATCTTCAAGTAAAGAAGTATTGCAAACCATTGCCTCCCAAAAATACACAATCCTTTAATTTATAGATACAATGACACTTAACAAATCAGGAGAAAATTGATCAAGCGCTTGCAGGAGCAAATATATGCTTCTGGATTAGCATTGTCAATAACTGAATATGCGCAATCGCAGGAAGATTTTAAATTATTACGACCATCATACTTTTTGCCAAGCAGACATTCTTTGAGCAAGCCTCGTTTACATTTTCAAAAACTACCCACCGTTGAGGGGTGTCTTTCTTCTTTTTTTTTTTTTTTTTTTTTTGGGGTGGCAGGGTCATGTTTTTCCCTCATGTCTTCAAAATTTCTGGAAATTTTACATCTCTATTGCTGACTTAAAATATCACATAAGTGGTTTTTTTTTTTTTTTTTGGTTTTTTTTTTTATGTAACAAAGCAGACGGGTAACACTTAAAAGCTCAAATGAACATTTTGATTTTTACTTTAGGAGACCTTTATTTTGACACTACATTGAGACTAGTATAGGAACAAATGTTTGATTTTGTGTAAGTGGTGAACATACCATTAAGATGAGATCAAGTTGGGTTTGGAAGGGCTCAGATTAGCAGGCTGACAACTTTTTCATGGGTTTACAATTGTCGCAATTATGAATGATAATGTATTTGCTTTCATGAGCATTTGATGCTCACTTAGCAAATGCAAATGTCAATTCAGATCTTGCAATTTACTTTTGGGTCCTGCGATTAATCTGGGTCAGTGGGGATCCAGTCCTCCATGCAATCGGGGACTGTACATTCAGATTTAAAACCCTTTCTGCCAGTTCTGTGGCTTAAGAAGAACTAAACCAGCTCTGTCCAACCTCTCTGCAGCAAAAGATCACTGCTATAGTGTTCTAAACCTGGCAATTGCCGTTCGAAGTGATCTGTTGCTGCAGAGAGGCTGGACAGAGCTGGTTTAGTTCTGCTTAAGCCACAGAACTGGCAGAAAGGGTTTTTACAACTGATTGTACAACTCCAGGGTTTAGCCAAAATACATTCCTACAAATGGGGCACAATAAAGGTGTCTGAACAGTGCAATACCTATCTCCTACTTTTAAAATTAATCTATTTATTGTAAGCCCTGGTTCAGCCCTGGACTTTGAAATTGTGCAACTTCACTTGAAGTTGCATGATTTTCAAAGCCACAGGTCAGTACAAATTTAGGTGAGACTTGGCTGACATCTGTGGGACTTCATGCACAGATGTCTATGCAAGTCACACCTGAAATCTCAAAAAATAGTGCAGGAAACTTTTTTTTCAAATCGGTGCAGCACCACAAAGTCTGAGTTGCACCGATTTTGAACGGTTCCATTGCTAACAATAGGATGTGACTTGTCATGCGATTTGGAACTGTCAAAATAATTTAAACATTTTGGCAAATTTTGCCTAACAATGATTGTTTAATAAACATATAATAAGTCTAATACAGCTTTACTCCTTGATCTAAAGTGTGATCTGGTTGGGGGGAGTTGAATATGTCACAATGCATTTCATGGGTCTCTATCCCCACTTCCTCAGGCTTTGTGAAACTGTTAATGAATAAACATTGAAACTTGGGATCAAGGGCCTAAGGGACCACCAACCACACCTAACCACTCACTGGGATTATGGCAAACAGATACAAACTGTAAACTAGGAAGTGGTGGACTTTCCTTTCCTTCCAAGGATAAAGTTTAAAAGAAAAATCAATATGAAGTCTCAACATTTAGAAAAAAAATATTTTGTCCGAATATTTATCTAGAGGTTTTCCAGGAAAAATGATCATGTGGCTTGTAACATTGCAGAGGCAACTCACCAGTACAGTAGATTTTATAAAGTGCACAAGTGTACTCATCCTATTTGTTAACAAGCTTAATAAAAAAAAAATCGATTTATGTATTAGTTTTATTTAGTAAGACAGAGCAAAAATGATGCTACAGTATACAATGTAACGTCACTCACTGCAGCCAGAGCTCGCTTTTCATTACTTAAAGCAGTAAAAATACATCAGGATTGTTGATTGATATGAATAACTGCAGTATGCTTTTTGCTTTGTTTTCTGTTTAGCAGTTCTTAACTGGTGGAATTTAGTATCCTCTTATTAATGTTTTTCTGACCATGCCTTTTCAGTTACTTCGGGTCAAAATTCACAGTCCTCTGTGGAAAGTTCATTAATCAATTCAGAGAAAACTGAGCTACAGTCTTGTGTTGATAAAGATGCTTCTGCAGAAAACACAAAAAATTCTCAGGTAACAAACAGAACAACTTTCCTCGCATGCATACTGTGGATCTTTAAAAAGAAAAGTACTTAAAGGGAATTTTATGTCATCTTTATTCTGGTCAAGACTAATACTGGCCATACACATAGATTTTTGAACAAGAGTATTACAAACGTGTTTGAAATTCTTTGTACATTCGATGACTGAATAGTTGTTCGAAAATTTAACTTGCATTTTTAATATGAATGTATTTCCCAAATGAAAACCACATACAGTCAGGTCCATAAATATTGGGACATCGACACAATTCTAACATTTTTGGCTCTATACACCACCACAATGGATTTGAAATGAAACTAACAAGATGTGCTTTAACTGCAGACTGTCAGCTTTAATTTGAGGGTAATTACATCCAAATCAGGTGAACGGTGTAGGAATTACAACAGTTTGCATATGTGCCTCCCACTTGTTAAGGGACCAAAAGTAATGGGACAATTGGCTTCTCAGCTGTTCCATGGCCAGGTGTGTGTTATTCCCTCATTATCCCAATTACAATGAGCAGATAAAAGGTCCAGAGTTCATTTCAAGTGTGCTATTTGCATTTGGAATCTGTTGCTGTCAACTCTCAAGATGAGATCCAAAGAGCTGTCACTATCAGTGAAGCAAGCCATCATTAGGCTGAAAAAACAAAACAAACCCATCAGAGAGATAGCAAAAACATTAGGCGTGGCCAAAACAACTGTTTGGAACAGTCTTAAAAAGAAGGAACGCACCAGTGACCTCAGCAACACCAAAAGACCCGGAAGACCACGGAAAACAACTGTGGTGGATGACCAAAGAATTCTTTCCCTGGTGAAGAAACCACCCTTCACAACAGTTGGCCAGATCAAGAACACTCTCCAGGAGGTAGGTGTATGTGTGTCAAAGTCAACAATTAAGAGAAGACTTCACCAGAGTGAATACAGAGGGTTCACCACAAGATGCAAACCATTGGTGAGCCTCAAAAACAGGAAGGCCAGATTAGAGTTTGCCAAACGACATCTAAAAAAGCCTTCACAGTTCTGAAACAACATCCTATGGACAGATGAGACCAAGATCAACTTGTACCAGAGTGATGGGAAGAGAAGAGTATGGAGAAGGAAAGGAACTGCTCATGATCCTAAGCATACCACCTCATCAGTGAAGCATGGTGGTGGTAGTGTCATGGCGTGGGCATGTATGGCTGCCAATGGAACTGGTTCTCTTGTATTTATTGATGATGTGACTGCTGACAAAAGCAGCAGGATGAATTCTGAAGTGTTTCGGGCAATATTATCTGCTCACATTCAGCCAAATGCTTCACAACTCATTGGACGCCGCTTCACAGTGCAGATGGACAATGACCCAAAGCATACTGAAAAAGCAACCAAAGAGTTTTTTAAGGGAAAGAAGTGGAATGTTATGCAATGGCCAAGTCAATCACCTGACCTGAATCCGATTGAGCATGCATTTCACTTGCTGAAGACAAAACTGAAGGGAAAATGCCCCAAGAACAAGCAGGAACTGAAGACAGTTGCAGTAGAGGCCTAGCAGAGCATCACCAGAGATGAAACCCAACGTCTGGTGATGTCTATGCGTTCCAGACTTCAGGCTGTAATTGACTGCAAAGGATTTGCAACCAAGTATTAAAAAGTGAAAATTTGATTTATGATTATTATTCTGTCCCATTACTTTTGGTCCCTTAACAAGTGAGAGGCACATATGCAAACTGTTGTAATTCCTACACCGTTCACCTGATTTGGATGTAAATACCGTCAAATTAAAGCTGACAGTCTGCAGTTAAAGCACATCTTGTTCGTTTCATTTCAAATCCATTGTGGTGGTGTATAGAGCCAAAAATGTTAGAATTGTGTCTGTCCCAATTTTTATGGACCTGACTGTACATTGTTCAAAATTTTGCGCTCTTTTGAATTTTCTCTTTACTGTGGTTGAAAATGCATGTCGATTTTCTGCCACTAATGATTAGAAAATCTAATTTCTTCAAGTGAAAATATTCAAATGAAAATATGTGGTCAGCATAAGAAATACAAATGTCAACCAAACTAGATAAATATGAATTACTGCTCTTCTAATCTTCAGCAGAGATGGAACACGAGACTTCTTTTCATATTTACCTTTCTGGTTTTACCTGTGCTGGTATTAAAATATCGTCAGTGCAAGCTAACTATAAAGGGCACAGACTTCCATGCGTTTTATGGTTGTTCTCCTTGTGATATCTTATCCACATTGGCTAGATTGCTGAAACATAAAACTGGCATAATCGCCTGTCTGTGTATGGTTTGAACAACAAAGCATTATTTGTATCTGACATGGGACTGTTACATGACCTATTCTAATGTTTGACGTACTAACCCTGAAAGAAGCAAACATGTTTTATGATTTCCCTGTCCCCCTCTGTGTGAGGAAACTCTGCTTCTATTCCTATGTATGGCCACTCTTGCTCAGCATATCACAGTGAGTAGGTCTGAATTAGGAAAAATTAGTCCTGCTTCTTTGATGCACTACAGACTTTCTGGGATTCTGTGTGCATAAGCTGTGTTGTCAGAATTATTAACTGCATTCCCGCCGCCCTCTATAGCAGATATACTGCTACAGGGCGGCAGGGGTGCGCAAAATCACGTGTATGTATGAAATAAATAAAAAAAAGTGTGTATGTGTATGTATATATATATATATATATATATATATATATATATATATATATATATATATATCTATCTATCTAATGTATGTGTGCTCGCACAAATGCATTTAACCTTTTGATCGCCCCACATGTTAACCCTTTCCTGCTCAGTGTCATTAGTACAGTGCCAGTGCTTTTTATTAGCACTGATCACTGTATTGGTGTCACTAGGGATGTCAGTGACACCAAGTCAGTTCCCCCTAGTGTCAGAATATCCGTCGCAGTCCCGCTATAAGTCGCTGATCGCCGCCATTACTAGTAAAAAAAAAAAAAAAAAAAGAATTTCAGTATTTATACCACCATTTGTAAATGCTATAACTTTCACGTAAATCAATTAATTTACACGTATTGGGATTTTTTTTTTTTTTTAGGAAAGATATGTAGCAGAATATATTTTGGCCTAAATTTATGATGAAATTTAGATTTTTTTTTTTTTAGTTTTTGTTTTGTTTTGTTACTGGACATGTTTAACCAGAGCTGATCACGGGATGTCGTAAAAGGCCAATCACAGCGGCCTTTTACCACGTCATCAGCCGTGTCCAATGACACGCTGATCACAGGGAAATGCAATTGTTGGTTCTCTGCTGCACTTTCCACCGCTGTCAGATCGTGAGAAAAGTACTGCCGAGAACCGGTAGTTGTTAGAGCAGGGATCGGCACCGATCATCAGGGCACTGATGATCGGTGCCCAGCAGTGCCACCCACCTGTGCCCATCAGTGCAGCCCAGCAGTGCTGCCAGTCAGTGTCACCAGTCAGTGCCCAGCAGTTGCGCCAGCCAATGCCTAAAAGTGCCGCCAGTCAATACCTAGCAGTGCCGCCAGTCAGTGCCCAGCAGTGATGCCAGTCAGTGCTGTCTATCAGTACCCATCATCAGTGCCGCCTATCCATGCCATCTCATTAGTGCTGCCATCAGTGCTGCCTCATCAACGTACATCAGTGAAGGAGAAAAATTACCTGTTTGCAAAATTTTATAAAAGAAACAAAGAAACTTTTTTTTTTTTTTTTCTTTTTTATACCACATAAAAAACCCGCACAGGAGATCAAATACCATCTGGAGGGAAAGTGGTTAAGCTGCTTTCCAATTCAACACATTTTGTTTTGAAACAAGACACTGTTTATTTAGACCAAAGTTGATCTCTAAAGTGAACACAGCAGATCACATGTCAATTGTATACAATGTATGTCTTCCTGTCATGCCATCCATTGTATACAATTATGTTGTTAGCTGTGGCCAATCAAAGCCCATCTGTATCATGTGATCAGCTTTGCCCAATCACAGCTAATCACAACAAAAGACTTAATCAGTTTCATTCAGTAACAATGATTGCAAATATCAATGAAATACATTGGTATTAGCAATCATAATGTGTTTAAAAAAAAAAACTCTTAACTTGCCCAGAGTAGTTCAATGTTACTATGATAACGTTGTATTGCTTTGGTCACAGTGTGCTGAAAAATAAAATGGTAAAAGAAAATATTTAATAAATAAAAAAAAAAGAAACATTTGAAAAAAAAAAATACAAATTCAATTATTATTTTCACCAAAGAAATGTAGCAGAATACATTTTGACCTACATTTATGAAAACATTTTATTTGCAAAAGTTTATAACAGAAAGAAAGAGTGGTTTTTGAAAAAAAAAAAAGTTACAGGTATTTTTTTTTATTTAGCAAAAAATAAAAAAAACTCAGTGATTATTAAATACCACCAAAAGAAAGCTCTATTTGAGTGAAAAAATGATAAATATGTCATATGGGTACAGTGTTGCATAACCGCACAATTGTAATTCGAAGTGCGACAGTGTTGAAAACTGAAAATTTGGCCTGGGCAGGAAGGGGTTATAAGTGCCCAGTATTGAAGTGGTTAAAGCAGAACTCCAGCTTTCGGTACACTTAGTTCGTTTAGGCCAGCCTGGCCCAAACAAACTATGTCCCTTACTAAACTTGTGAGGCCGCTGGATGTGAATGAGTACATAATTTATACAAACTATGTAAAGTGTACCAAAAGCCGGAGTTCAGCTTTAATCCAGCAAATAAAGGTTGCACACTACATTATTTTACTACTGAATAGCTTTCACTAGAATGGGGGTGGAGTTATTGTCCACCCTGTTAAATTCCAGTAACAATACCTATAACATAAATAACTGCCACATAACATGGGCAATGCCAGACTGAACTGGAAGGTTCTACTACAATCCTTAATCACTTTCTCTCCAGAGGATTTACCCCCCTTCCTGACCAGGCCATTTTTTTTTTTTTTTTCGTTACAGCGCTGGGTTACTTTAACTGACAATTGCGTGGTCATGCAACACTGCACCCAAATTAAATTTGTCCTTTTTTTTTTCCCCCACAAATGTAGCTTTCTTTTGGTGGTATTTGATCGCCTCTGCGGTTTTTTATTTTTTGCGCTATAAACAAAAAAGCCCAACCATTTTGGGAAAAAAAACAAAACAATGTTTTTGACTTTTTGCTATATACAGTGTTCCAAATTATTATGCAAATGATATTTTTCTCATTTACCTAAATAATTGATGTAAATAACAGTCAGCATAATTCTCATGTTATCAACTATTAAGAGTACAATTCACATTTTATTGAACAAACCTCCTAATGATAACAGGATTTGTTTTAAACATAAAACACTTCCAATGACTGTTCCAAATTATTACGCTCAGTAAGTTTCAAAACACTTTATAGGTTTTAAAGAACTGAAAATTGTCATTTGTTGTGTTTGCAGCATATTTATTGAAATCAAAAGCTATTTCAATCAAACCTTTAACAACATTTTAACTTTTTAAACATTTTAACAGGTCACGTTACATTGTAACATAGGACCCCTTATTTGATACCAGCTTCACAAGTTTTGCATCCATTGAACTTGTGAGTTTTTGGACAGTTTGTGCTTGAATTTGTTTGCAAGATGTCAGAATAGCCTCCCAGAGCTACTGTTTGGATGTAAACTGCCTCCCACCCTCATAGATCTTTTGCTTGAGGATGCTCCAAAGGTTCTCAATAGGATTGAGGTCAGGGGAGGATGGAGGCCACACCATGACTTTCTCTCCTTTTATCCCCATAACAGCCATTGATGCAGAGGTATTCTTTGCAGCATGAGATGATGCATTGTCATGCATGAAGATGATTTTATTACGGAAAGCATAGTTCTTCCTTCTGTACCAGGGAAGAAAGTGGTCAGTCATAAACTCCCCATACTTTGCAGATGTCATCTTTACACCTTCGGGGACCCTAAAGGGGCCGACCAGCTCTGTTCCCATGATTCCGGCCCAAAACATGACTCCACCACCGCCTTGCTGACGTCGCAGCCTTGTTGGAACAGGGTGGCCGTCCACCAACCATCCACTACTCCATACATCTGGACCATCCAGGGTTGCACGGCACTCATCAGTGAACAGGATGGTTTGAAAATTAGTCTGCATGTATTTTTCTGCCCAATGCAGCCGTTTCTGCTTGTGAGCATTGGTTATTGGTGGCCGAATAGAAGGTTTATGCACAGTTGCAAGACTCTGGAGGACTCTACACCTTGGTGTCCGTGGGACTCCATAGGCACCAGCAGCTTCAAATATCTGTTTGCTGCTATGTAATGGTATTTTAGCAGCTGCTCTCTCGATCCGATGCATGGATCTGGCAGAAATCTTCATCAATGTGCCTTTATCTGCACGAACCCGTCTGTGCTCTGAATCAGCCACAAATCTCTTAATAGTGCGATGATCACGCTTATGTTTTCGTGAAATATCTAATGTTTTCATACCTCGTCCAAGGCATTGAACTATTTCACTCTTTTCGGCAGCAGAGAGATCCTTTTTCTTCCCCATATTGCTTGAAAATGGTGCTCTGCTTAATAATGTGGAATACCCTCCTTTAGTAGTTTTTCCTTAAATTGGGCTCACTGGCCAATCTAATTATCACAGGTGTCCGAGGTTGTTTTCAGTGATCAAAAGAGCCCTGACACACAATGCCATCCATGAGTTACACTGAAAAACAAAATATTTAATCTTTGTGACACTTAAATAGAATTTGCATAATCATATGGAACGCGGTGTAAAACATGTCCAGTAAAAAAATTTAAATCAAATGTCATAAATTTAGGCCAAAATGTATTTTTATACATGTCTGCTAAAAATAAAAGCATCTACAAATGGCGGTGTATATATGCCTGATTTTTTTTTATTTATTTTATTTTTTATACTAGTAATGGCGGCGATCAGCAACTTATAGCGGGACTGCAGCACGCATTCTGACACTGGGGAGGAACTGACTGTCACTGACATCCCCAGTGACACCAATACAGTGATCAGTGCTAATAAAAAGCACTGACGCTGTACTAATGACACTGGGCAGGAAGGGGTTAACATGTGGGGCGATCAAAGGGTTGACTGCATGCTGTGTGCTTTTTTTTACTATGTGGCCTGTGTATGTTTTACTGTGTAAGCATCCTGCTTTGTATTGCTCTGCTATGCAGAGCAATACAAAGTAGCATGCTGGTGCTGACGGGAGAGATCTGTATTGTTTATGTACAGACCTCTCCCCTGTCAGTGTTCCTCAGCGATCGCTTGGTGCTGATGGGGAATCTCCGGCCAGGACCCAGTGATTGACAGCTGTAGCTGACAATGGCAGCACGGATAGGATGGCGCGTGTGCCCCCCCAACCTGGAAATACAAAATCACTTATATATACACGTGATTTTGCATAGCCCTGCCGCCCTGTAGCAGTAGTTCTGCTATAGGGCGGCCAGCAAGCTGTTCAATAATGAGGATCTCTGTGTAATCATAGGAGCGGCTACTGTACAAAGTGTCCAGGCTTTTACGCAATTCCTGTACTAGCCCATAATCGAAATCTTAGGCTTCAGTTAATAGAACTGTCCTCACTGAAAGACAGAGATGTATTTGCATGCCATTTAGGTTGTTCTGTGACGCCTCTTGGGGGAGTAAAGCAGCCTTTCTGAGCTAAGATTTGGCTTTGACAAACACAATTTATTAACACCACCAAACCTTTTCAAATTACAAACATTTAACAGGAAAGATATTGCTACAGACAGTAATCTACACTTACTCTGGAATTGCCTTGTTCACGAATGGGCACACATTTGCTAGTAATACTTTGACTGTTCTTGCATGTGCTCAGCTGTAACTGTTTCTTAACCACTTGACCTCCAGGAATTTTTTACCCCATTCATGACCAGGGCATTTTTTGCTATATAAATGAAAAAGGACTGAACATTGTACAAACAAAAATTTCTACTTTGGTATAAAACTTATCCAATAAAAAAAAAAAATCAAATTTCTTTATAAATTTAGGCCATAATCTATTCTGCTACATGTCTGTGGTTAAAAAAAACAAAACCCCAATAAGTGTATATTGGTTTGTGTAAATGTTTATAGCTATAGCGTCTACAAACTATGGGATACATACTGGAATTTATACAGCTAAGGAAGCTAAGCTGTAATGGCAGTGGTCAGCAACTTATAGTGTGGTGGGCAATATGGCACTAACAGACACTGGCGGGGGGGGGGAATCACCAACTGACAGACGTCACTAAAGACGCTAATACAACAATCAATGATAATACTGTACTAATGACACTGGCTAGGCATTGAGGTATGGTTAGTTTATGGAGAAAAAGCATGGCAATTAGTTGCACAGGTCTTTAGCGAACCAATTGTCACCCACTTTGGGTTTAGTTCAGTTCAGCGTTTTTTTATTTAGGTGTTAATGTTGTTTGTGTCTTGTTTTCACCCATTTAGATGCAAGCCATTGTGTAATTGTGACAACTTTTTTTTCCCTTTTTTATGCTTTAGGATTCTGATGATGGTGCCCCTCCAAGCAAAAAGGCAAAATCTGACAGTTCGGCACAAAACACAGAAGCAGTCTAGACTGTTGAGCAAAACTTCTTTCTTTTTATTATTTGGGGTTGGTTTACTGTAAGGTACATTGGTTACTGCAACTATAGGACAGCCTTACTGACATCTTTCTCTCTTTAATGAGAATAGAACTCTTTTTATCTTCTCAACCTACAAAGCAAAAATCCAACAATGCCTGGACAGGAGGCCAGGACTTGAGGAAATGGGAAACTTTCTGTGACAACTCAAAATACCAATGACAGTCTTTTGAAGTGGTTGTTGTAAACACTCAGGAGGGTCTACGCACTGTTTTCTGTAGTCATTTTTACATTTGTGTTGCTGCTGTATATATGTTTTCCATTTTGCTATTTAACATGTAAGATATTTAAAGATGGTACCTGTTCAATTTTAAGCCTCCACGTGAATTTCCACAATTCTGGTTTTGTTACTGTGCCTTTTTTGGTCTAGGAATTTTTATTTTAATATAAAGCGCCACATACAGTGGATAAATATGTTAAATATTTGTAGCAATTTAAAAATCATTCTAAGCCATGTTCACAAATGGACTGAGCTGATTACTTTATCTAAGAGTATTTCAATGCCTTTTATCATGCATCATTTATCCGCATCAATGCATTCCACAGTCTGACTGCATCTGCTAGTTTTCTTTAACTGCTAACACATCATAATGTTCTTAAATCCATGTAACAACTTCCCTCTGTTCCAGGCAGCTAACTCATTCATTTTGTTTTACTACAGAATCAGTGGTTCATCCATATTTGTAGATTACTCTAAAAATAACTGTTTTAAGATCAAGGATTTAGTCAAAGCAGTATTTTATTTTTATTTTTGTCTGCCAACTGCTACATATATTTTTATTTTATTTTTTAAAAAATCAATATAAATGGATTTTATAACTTGTGGTTCTAGTTTGTTGCGTGGGTTGTTTCTACAAGGACAGCACAGCTTAGGGCAGTATAAGGGTTACATGTTGGTTCTTTGTGTATTTTAGGCTGTGTGCCCATTGTTTTGTTTTTTTTTTTTAAATTGGTTTACTCAGTACAGTGCCTTGAAAGAGTACTCATACCCCTTGAAATTTTCCAAATTTTTTCATGTTATAACCAAAAACGTAAATGTATTTTATTGGGATTTTATGTGATAGACCAACACAAAGTGGCATATAATTGTGAAGTTTAAGGAAAATGATAAATGGTTCAGTTTTTTTTACAAATATCTGAAAAGTGTGGTGTGCATTTGTATGCACCCCCTGAGCCAATACTTTGTAGGACTACCTTTTCACTGCAATTACAGCTGCAAGTCTTTTTGGGGATGTCTCTACCAGTTTTGTACATCTAGAGAGGGACATTTTTGCCCATTCTTCTTTGCAAAATAACTCAAGCTCTGTCAGATTGGATGGAGAGCATCTGTGAACAGCAATTTTTCAAGTCTTGCCACAGATTCTCATTTGGATTTAGGTCTGGACTTTGACTGGGCCATTCTAGCACATGATTGTGCTTTGAACTAAACCATTCCATTGTAGCTCTGACTGTATGTTTAGGGTCGTTGTCCTGCTGGAAGGTGAACCTCCATCCCAGTCTCAAGACTGTAACAGGTTTTCTTCTAAGATTGCCCTGCATTTGGCTTCATCCATCTTCCCATCAACTCTGACCAGCTTCCCTGTTCCTGATGAAGAAAAGCATCCCCAAAACAAGATGCTGCTACCACCATGTTTCATGGTGGGGATAATGTGTTCAGGGTGATGTGCAGTGTTTTCCGGCACACATGGCACACTTTGTTTTTAGGCCAAAAAGTTCAATTTTGGTCTCATCTGACCAGAGCACCTTTTTCCACATGTTTGCTGTGTCACCCACATGCAAGCTGCAAATGAGACTTCTTATGGATTTCTTCTTGCCACTCTTCCATAAAGGCCAGATTTGTGGAGTGCACAACTAATAGTTGTCCTTGTATACAGATTATCCCACCTGAGCTGTGAATCTCTGCATCTTTCTGTTTTTATACAATGGATTGAACAGTGCTTTGTGATGTGTTCAAAGCTTGGGATATTTTTTTATAACCTAACCCTGCTTTAAACTTCTCCACAACTTTATCCCTGACCTGTCTGGTGTCTTCCTCTGCCTTCATGATGCTATTTGTTCACTAATGTTCTCTTAACAAACCTCTGAGGGCTTCACAGAACAGCTGTATTTATACTGAGATTAAATTACACACAGGTGGTCTCTATTTACTAATTAGGAGACTTCTGAAGGCAATTGGTTCCACTAGATTTTAGTTAGGGGTATCAGAGTAAAGGGCTGAACACAAATGCACGCCACAAACACATTTATCATTTTCCTTCCACTTCACAATTATGTACCACTTTGTGTTGGTCTGTCATATAAAATACATTTACATTATTGGTTTTAACATGACAAAATGTGGAAAATTTTCAAGACACTGTATATCATTTGTAAGCTAGGACCCCAGTTCTTATAACAGTAATGTAATTTTAGACCTTTGTATGCCAACTGAGCAATACATGGGGTATTCACAAATTTTCCATCAAGTAGGTATCCTCCTTGAGGCCTGGTTCACACTATTGCGGCTCTGTGAATTGCATTTGCATGGGCACAGGAGCCCATTCATTTTAATGGGCTGCTGTGCCTGTATTTCATGTAGGAAAAAGGTTTCTGCACCATATTTAAAAAGCAGTGTCAGGGAAATTGCATGGTGCTTTTGCACCATGTGATTTCCCTGCGATACCTGCAAATGCGCTGTGTTTTTAGATGTGTGGGGATACCATTAAGAATGAATGGCAGCCTCATGTGTTTCTAACCACTTACCCTCCAGAAGATTTACCCCCCTTCCTGACCAGGCCATTTTTTGTGAAATGGCGCTGCGTTACTTTAACTGACAATTCTGTGGTCATGCAACGCTGCATCCAAATGACATTTACATCCCTTTTTTTCCCCACAAATAGATCTTTCTTTCGGTGGTATTTTATCGCTTGTGCGGTTTTTCATTTTTTGCGCTATAAACAAAAAAAACCAACAATTTTGAGAAAACAATATTTTTGACTTTTTGCTATTAAACATGTCCAGTTAAAAAATTTTGCCCAAAATGTATTCTGTTACGTGTCTTTGCTAAAAAAAAAAAAAAAAAACCAATACGTGTAAATTAATTGGTTTGTGAGAAAGTTACAGCGTTTGCAAAAGGCGGCATATATACTGGAAATTTTTTTTTTGTATTTATTTTTTTTGCTAGGAATGGTGGCAATCAGCGACTTACAGCGGGACTGCGGCAGGCATTCTGACACTGGGGGGAACTAACTAGTTGTCACTGACATCCCCAGTGACACAATACAGTGATCAATGCTAATAAAAAGCACTGACACTGTACTAATAGCACTGGGCAGGAAGTGGTTAACATTTGGGGTGATCAAAGGGTTAACTGTGTGCTGTGTGTGTGCTTTCCACTGTAAGCCCACTGCTTTGTATGGCTCTGCTATGCAGAGCCATACAAAGCAGTGTGCAGGAGCTCACAGGGGAGAGATCTGTTGTTTATACACCGGTCCCTACCCCGTCGGTAATACTCGGGTGTCGGCAAGGAATTGCCAGCCGGGATCTGCTGATTGACAGCTGAGGCCGTGACTGGCAGGGCACGAGCCCCCTACCCGGAACTATAAAATCGTGTATGTATGTGATTTTTGCGTGCCCCTGCCGTCCTGTAGCAGTTTTTCTGCTATAGGGCGCTGTGGAAGCGGTTAAAAGAGCAGCGTGTTTTGGCTGCAGGTAGGTGTTGGAATGGGAACAGGTGCGATACCCGCAATAGTGTAAACTGGGCCTTTTACTGATAATGCAAAAGACCATAACTGTTCCTTCCAATGTATGCAGTAATTTTTTGTTATCCGCATAGTTCCAAACTGCTGGACTGTTCAGGTTTGGCTTTGCCGCATTATTTCTCAAATCGTTGATTCATTTTGGACACCCAAGATTAAGTCGGTGTGGTAGGCTGGCCCCATCTGCCTGTGTGTGTATATCTGCTTTGACTTTTATATTCTATGTGTTGAGGCACCATGTTGGGTACACAGCCTTAATGTGATTCATGCCATATCAAGGTGCTGTATTGTTTGGTTTAAAAGCTCTAATGGATAACTATTTTAATTTGGATGACTTTTTACCCTTAAAATGTATTGTACTATTTTTTTCAGTTGAACAAAGTATTTATTTTTTTCTTACACAATTGCTCATAACATTTGATATTTCAGCCCCCTCTCCAAAAAAATGCCCCAGTGATTTGCAAATGCTGCTAAATAGAATGATGCTGTCTTTTGTGAAAATTGCCTCCCCACTCCCCTAGATTTAACATACCACTATTCCTTAAAAGATTTAGTATTTAACCCAACCCACCCTCCTCCACTACAGATGCATACTTATCTTGGACCGACTGCTGCAGTTCCATGGTTTACATCCAGCGCATCATGCCTTTACTGTACTGACTGTGCTTGTTAATTACAGCCCAGTAGACTTCTAAGGGACCATATCTGATGGCCTCTGGCATCAGATGGGGCACTAACACGCAGGTTCCTCCCCAACTGTTCTGCTGGGTTTAGCTGTCAGGGCAAGTTTGCATCTCTAGAGGTGGAGAATGAGTTAGTTCAGGGGAAGAGGGTGAAACGAATAAATGCACTTTGTTTTAAAGTGCCCTTATCCTTAAAAGTGTTTTAACCTTTGCAGCCAAGTTGGGATAATGTCTAGGTTATGTATTGTGTTCCCATTCACACAGCATAGCTTAAAATTTAAGTAGCAATTTAAAAAAAAAAACAAAAACATTTTAACATGCTCTTTTTTTTTTTTCCCCCCTGAAACTCCAAAACTGAAAAATACTACTTAGCCTTTCTCTTCTATGTCATGTTTATAAGAGGATGGGGAGATAAATTTACCACGATTACCCTGTGTTCTGTGCTGCCAGATCTTTATTATCCAGTTCTCCGCTAGATACAGTATCTCCCAGAAGTGAGTCCACCCCTCACATTT